GGAAGGAAGGAAGGAAGGAAGGAAGGAAGGTTGGAAGAAAGCAAGGGAGGAAGATACGTTTTTTTATAGTTTTAAATTGGTAGTAGCGATATATTCTAACCTGTAGTAAGCTCTCCTCATCACATAATTGTTTTTCCACTTTCTTGTACAAATGTTCTAATCCTTTTTTCAACTAGCAAAAAATGCACCAAAAAATATACAGTTAACATTGGTACTAGAGACAATAAAACGCTGCATTGCTATGGGTCACTTAGCTTTCTGTCCTCTCTGGGATTTGCTGAAGGGCAAAATCAAAAGTTCCACTGCTATGACAGCTAAGAGCCAGGGCCCGGTTGTATGAAGGGTGGATAGCGCTATCTGATGGATAAATCCTTATCCAGTGGATAAGTCGATGCTGTTATCCAATAAATTTATCCGCTGGATAAGATTTTTCTGTAGGACAGCGCTATCCACCCTTCGTACAGGACCCAGGAGGGGGCAAGAGGGAATGAAACTAAGCACCAGTGAATCCTAACCCAAACAAGTGATGGATTAAAGAATTACCAACCTCCTTTGCAGGGACCTCCTTGATGCATTTTCTCAGTTCTTGCTTGCTGAATGCTAGCTGGTAGCCAACCTCTTCAGCCTTGACTCCGGCTGCAATCTTTTCTTGGACTCCTTCAAAAAAGACCTAGAAATGACATACATAAGCCTTAGAATTAACAACGAAATACTCTTGCATAGGGCATAGATGCACTCTTAACCTCTTCCCTTCATTTTTCATGGTGAGCTGTGCAAAATGGAGATTTAGAATCTAGAATCCAATTTAGACAAGCTCTCTTGAGAATAAGATTCTTTGAGTGGTATTCCATATTCAGTTGTCTTCTTATGTGCAACTGGGGAATGGGGGAAAAAAGCTTCTCAAGGGAATGACACATTGTCTGAAATGGGAAAACATCATAAGCCCAAGGGAAGGTCTATTGCTAGTAAAACGTTAAAATTAAAAGTTCTAATGGTTTTGGAAGTCATTTAATTGGCAAAACTAAACCTGTCCTAGTCAGCCCAAGTGAATGTCTGAAGAGTCTATGTAAAGTGAGTTAGATTTTTGAATTCGCAATCAGGGGCAGATCCAAGATTTTGGGTAACCAACTGCTGCAGATTGGCTTGGCTACCTTCTTTCCCAGACACACACTACATTATAGTATATCTTTGATTCGTTATTGTCTCTTAGAGGCTTCAATATTGTCAAGATGGCCTTAAAAGGGGGTTTGTATTTTTCATTTACGGGGTTCGTACTAAACCACAAACCCCCCGCCCCCCTGAACCACCACTAGCTAGATCCACCCTGCACCCTATAGGCCAAACGATAACTTACACTGAGTTTCTCCATCGGCCTGCCAAGCATGCCTTTAACATACTCCTCCAGACTTGCACCATATTTTTCCTTGGCTTCAAGTTTTTCTTTCTCAAGACACGAGATCTTCAGTCTTGATAGCACCCCTAATAAGTAGCAAAGATATTTAGGTCAGCAAGAATTGGAATCAATGTTTCATGGTGCTGGATTCTAGAATCCAAAAGCTGCGCTTTAATTCCAAAACCGGTATGTTCTTCGAACATTGTGTGACGCCGCGGTTTGAGGGAAAATGTCAGTGCTCGTGCGTGCATTTCATTCCGTGGTGTGCGACTTTGTGAGCATTTGCGCATACTGTTTTATGAGAAATCGTGCTCCATATTACTCAAAGCAAAGTATAATACTATAAATAAAATAGCAAATCCTCGCGGGTCCTGTATTTACGTTATGGTGAGAAAACGTTAGCATGTTTTAAGCTGTGCTGCAAACAACCTGGAATAATAAGCTGCTCTACTTACTGAGCAAGTGGTGGTAGTTTTCTGTCGAATAGGAAGAAAATAGCGTTAATAGATATTAGGAGACAAAGGACAAAATCGCTACATTCTAGTATGAGTCACCCATGCATCATTCCCTTCAGTAGCATTCTTTTGTTTACTGCTATTTTTAGAAAGACGGATGTCTTGAAATGGATGATAGCAAACAGTCGAGGAGCCAACAATAATAAAGGGACAATAATGGGAATAAACAATGGATTCCACAGAATGGCTCATCTTCCACTGGATTCCAACAGACCGTTTTCTCAAGGTTGCGTGCGCATCAAACTTGACGGGCCACAGAACTGAAAAATTGCAAATTCAGTAAAATTGAGGATCCAGTCTTATACTTAAGAGGAGAGTAATCGACTTTGTGATTTCTTATTAAAATAAATTTCATAGCAATCGCATGATAATACTCATGTTATGTTGTCGTGGCCCGTCAAGTTCCTTAAGTTTGGATGCGTACGCAACCTTGAGAAAACGGTTTATCACCATTTAGAAGTTGATTATTTGTGAAGGGGGAAAAACAGAGGACCAGGAGAAAAACCCTCGAAGCACAGGAGAGAACCAAGAAACAACTCTACTCAACTCACTCGTGCTTCCCAACAGGGGGTTTCCAGACCCGGAGGTATTATAATGAAACAATTAGAAAGTTCACTATCTCCTCTTCCTTCTCCTCTCTAGAGGGCTCATTGCAGTTTAAATAGTCTTTTTTATATTCAAAAAAACTAGAAAGTAAGATTTTTCAACGAGTTTTTATTTATAACCAGGATCTATTTTTACCATACCTAACATAACGACAGCCTTGGGACTCTTCAATGATTCCATAGCAACACGTTCCACATTGTCAAACACCACCCTTGTTAGTTGAATATAGGCTTTGTCAAGGTCAGTCCGACGCTCTGCGTTCTTGAAGATCCCTTCCGAATTTTCCACAAACTCCTATGGGGAGAGAAATTAATAGTATAATTACTTAGGCCCCGTCCACACGTATCCGCAAATTTGTGCATCCGCAATTTTTTTTTGCGGATACGGGTTGCGTCCACACGTGTCCGGAAATTTTTGTATCCGTATCCGGAAATTTTCGAAAACGGTCTCCAGAGTGGAAATTTTCGAATACGCTCCGAATACGGATACGTGTGGACGGTCGTATCCGCAAATTTTCGAATACGATGACGTAAACACGATTTTGCGCATTCTTAATAAGAAAAACTATCCGTTAAAGAGACTGTAGGCACTAGCGTGCATCAGGGCGGATCAAGAAATTTCCGGATACGTGTGAACAGTTAAAACGATTCGAAAACGATTCGAATACGCTGCGTGTGGACGCGAAAATTTTCGTATCCGCAAAAAAAATTTTGCGGATTCCAAAAATTTCCGGATACATGTGGACGGGGTCTTAATGGTGTCTTTAACTAAAACTACCAGAATCCCTTTGCACACTTTCTTTTGTTCACTTTATTAGCACCAATTGTAATTGGTACATTGTGGGTCTGTTTTAGTGGACATGTATATTTCCAAGCATAGTTAACATTAACTATGTTCCAAGATGGCGTCTATTTTTTCGCTAAAACAATCCCACAATGCACTGCAATGTCAGCTCAGCCCGGTTTTCCCCTAAACCTCAGAACGACAAATATTATACCACAACAGGATTAAGACTAAGTTCAAACAGTGCGATACTCTGGGTTTCAGAGTTTTTCTCCCTTAGGTGCTTCTATAACGAAACCTATGACGCACTAGCAAGACAGCCTATGACAGCAAGGGTAACAGTGCGCAACAACAAAACTAGTTGGATGGATTTTTTTTTTTTTACCTCAAACTTTGATACAAAAGGTAGGATTCCAACACGCTTGTTTTTCTGGATTTTTGCTTCTTCGATTTGCCTGATTAGGTTTGCCTATTTAGGAATGGAAAAAGTTGGAATGTGTTTCATGCAACGAGAAATGATAGTATGCGCAGTAGGCCTTGATGCATCAGTGATTTTGTGTGAAATGACTGGTTGATTGCAGTAGATGGTGTCATTTCCATGTCCTGACCATGCTGCTGCCCTGCTTTTTTTTATACTCTCCCATTTTTTACTTCCCCTCCATCTACCCATTCTATTTTCTCACATAATCCCCTCTCTCGGAGAGCCTGCTCCCAGGTTGCCCCATTTTAGATGGATAGGCTATGTCATGCCTAAAGATCTACATACTTGAAAACATGTAGTATACTTACAATAAACTTATCAAAGAGTCTTTTGACAGTAATCAAACAGTTTCCAAGCTGTTGGCTGAGGTACGACACAGGTGCACCAGATAGCTGGTTGGTGATGACGTACTGGCCAATACGAACAAGCATATACATAGAATTGCTAAGATACAGACAATTATACATGTATTAATAAGGCATGCAATACTGAAAGTTGTGAGAAACAGAAAGGAATGCAACAATCAAATAGCTTCTTCTAAGAACCAATCAAAAGATGCAAATAAACAAGATTTACAGCCAATCACAGTGCTCTATTTGGAAACTTAAAAGTTGACCACATAACTTTAGTTGTAAGCTTTTGTACTCTCCACCCCCCCCCCCCCTTAACCCGTTCTCTTTCCTAAATTATGAAGATGTGTTAAAGATTTACTTACAAACTGTCCAGCTTGTCACCAAACTGGATGAAAGCGTGAAGTTCAGAGTCCAAATTGCTAAACAAACCCTGCATAACTTTCCTATAAGTTGGATAAACAAATGACCAGCTTTAGTTACTAGGTAAGCTCTAGTTTTAAATGTTAGAGAGAGTGTGTGAAGAAAGAAAGGGAAGGAGAGAGGGAGGGAGGGAGGAAGGGAGGAAGGAAGGGAGG